CATTGGGGGGAAATATGATACATACGAGTGTTGTTTACAAGTGTACTAACATTTGAATAGTGACACAGCACAAAACTCACCAAATAACATGGCAGAATAAGAATATAGGCATGTACTTTGTTGCAATAAATGCAGAATTATGTGTGCACCATCTGTCATAACCTTAAGCTTCCACCAGGGGGAGCAATTTACAGAATTACATGAGTTGATCAAAAAAGGAAGCTGACAAAAGGAAAAAAATTGTCAAACGGTTCCAAATAATTATGTTGACATTTATACAAGTTTTAACTTTGCTTGGTGTGACCCATATGGCCAATTAGTTCCAACTTTGGAGGTATTTGTTGTTTTGCTGATGACAGCACATTTCCTGCATTGTGTTGTTTCCTAATTGGAAGTGCAGGCATTATTCCATACAATGCCACAACAGGCAGTAAAAGTGTATATCGTTAAAACGTAATGAATACAGATACGTATTGTGTTGCTATATCTGTTAAAATAGCAGGTGTGAAAAGGCAAACATATTTTGAAAGGTCCTGATAATTGCTTTCCTAATGTTGTAGAGGAAACCTTATGAGACACACTCATTTCCACCAGTGGGATATGTATACATCCATATTTATGGTAAACATTCTTTTGAGATGACATTCTTCTCTTATTTGACCAACTATACTTTTACCAGATAATGTTGATTCAGTTTAAATTATTTTTCTTTCACTATCTGTCAATCCATCTGTGAAAAGTTCAGCAGCAGGAGGGGATAAAACCAATATGAATGAAAGTGCTTTGATTTCTTCATGTTTTTAAAATGGATTAGGGGACCATGAGTCATGAGTTTTATTACAGTATTGTTGAAACTATTGGCAAGACACTATAGAGGTTACCATGGAAATGAGCTACTGGCACTGCAGCATAACATATACTCATACGGCCTTGACTTAATCATGAATATGAATCTATTTTATTGCTGATGTGAAAAAAATCTGAGCACCTACTCTGCATAAACAACACCACTCCACCATGATATGAAATTACAATCAGAGGATAAGCTAAAGGGATAAAACACTGTTGTTTACATGGTTAGAGCTTCTGATTGTCATTGAGAAAAAAAAAGTTGCCATCTGGATTTTATTAAGGTATTGATTAGTTAAATGCAGCATTTCTCCTCCCACTGATGGCAGATGAAAATGTAGTTTTTAAACACGGCATGCAGGTTCCAGGAGTGTCATTCCGATCACCATGTGTCAGTTAACAATGAGTCACTTTAACAGAAGGAATATAATGTTACACTGCAGTGTGAACCAGATATGAGTCATTGATGCTGCTACAACAAGCGTTGCCGCGGAAACTGTCTGCCTTGTGTCTTCTGAGTATGCCTGCTTATAGTGAAATGATGACAATATGAGGGAAAACAGGAAATTGTTAGGGCTAATGGAACAAACTTCATTAAATAGTATTTGATTACCTCAAGAAAAAGCACAAACATACTAGTGAGTACAGTAAAAATGAAAGCAGATGGGATTAATGGCAATCAACTGTTCTTGGTTTATAACATAATCACTGTTTTGAGATAAAAATCTATGTCTCAAAACAATCGCCAATTTAGAAGATGGTCAATTTAGAAGATCTCTGCCATTTCTACCCAATTTTTCAGCACAGAAACACGGCTTAAAATACAGTACTGTTTCAACATAGCTGCATTTTGCCTTACTACAATTTACATTAAGTTAATACAGATATGTTGATTGACAACAGACCCCGGACAAGTGAGTAAAAACGTATGTATATCAGATATTACACCAATTCAAATACTCTGATAGGAGACAGAAAAATACACTTGTAGGTCATATTTGTGTCGTACTGCAAATTGACGACATTGTACTATTTGCAGATATCCAGCATTGCTCTTTGGATGATTTTTTTTTAATAACCACAGATCAGTAGAGTATGTACATGTGCTCATATTGTTACAAAGTATTATGAAAGTACCATAGTGAGCCGAACAGTTTCACATGTTCAAAAGGCACGGACGGGGTTCGAACCCGCGATCTTCGGTTTACGAGACCGACGCCTTACCACTTGGCCACCGCGCCTGCGCTGATGCCAGGTCCTCTATGTAATAAGTATAACAACTACCAGTGTCTTCGCTGTTTATCTATAAAGGTGTGGTTCTAACTAAAAACTATTGTCCTCTGTATAGCAGTGAGGCTCGCCGTCCTTACTCGGAAAATACAGAGGAAATGAGCAGATGAGGTAGGTTTACAGAATAAATGTATTGCTGTCATCCGGCCACAAGGGGAGGCTGTTATCTTTAATGTGTGAACAACACGTGTCTTTCTTTAGAATTTTTCAGAAAGCAGAGGTCTGTGCTCCAGTACCTCCAGTACCTCGTTTATTCACAAAAGAAGCACTGTCACTACCATGAAGGTGAGAAATCGCTCTTTACAGGCTTTTTTTTTGAATAACATGACTTGAGAGAAGTGCATTTACTTAATTAAAAAACAAACCAGTGCAGCTACGGCTACTTTCAGGCCGTAATACAAATGGACACCCTCCAAAAACGTGTAGGATGGAATATCACAGAATAATATGCTATTCTTGAAATCTTGATGTTGTCTCGTGAACTGGGAAAAGTTGATCGTTTGGTCAAGACTTCATTATCCTGGGATCTTGAAATCACGTCAATCTACCCATTGGATTACAAAATGTATTGTCCACATTGCTAAAAGTGAAAGAAAACGTCAGGATTTAGCCACTTGAGTGATATGACCATCACTTTTTGAGAGACCACATAAACATATACAAACAAACTCAAAACGATAAATACTATGCCACCAGACTGAGATAGGTTTGCATTGCTAATTACTATGAGAACCAGTAGGCTGCTATTTTTTCTTCTTCTAAGCAATACAATATGCATGAAGCACAGACTGCAGCATTTTACTGTCTTTCTTTCCAAAACATCAAAGATGAATGCTCGCCTGAGGGGCTTCTTTCTCTCTTTTTTTGGATCAGATATCCTAGAGGCTGTGTGAAAAATGAATAAGACTCATTTCCATTGGGAGTGAGTTAGCAGTGAAAATCACAGATGTGGAGTTCACCTTGACCTGCTTATAGCAAGGCATCAGCACACAGACCAAAAGAGGGGGCTGACTTGAATAAACCACATATGTTGTTGATTTAATTCAGAACACCTTGAAATGGGACAGTTTCTCTGAAAATCCAGCCATTCTTAATTTTTCCATCTGTTTGAAACTTTTACCTAAGATAATAATTTAGACAGCAGTTATATATTGCACCTGTTATGCAGAAAATGTTTTCAGATATATGCTTTAAAGTCCAAAGGGAAAGTGTGAATGTTGACTGTAGAGCTGTAACCCTAATAAATATGTATGTTGTTATTTAGGATTGATGTTTTTTGTGGCATTAATATAAAAATGTATCCGTCATAAAGCAAGCTACAGAACCAATTTTAAAATTTAAAAATTTTAAATAGCTTGAGGTGCTTATAGATTATTTTATAATGTCACATGACATTGTGTATTTAAGCAGCTCTTCTTAATTATCATAAACCCCAACATCACAACCTGAGAGATACAATATGTTCCAGTCAGAGATCACATGGATCTGGGGCATTGTTTTGTTCATGTGGAGAACAGTCAGCAGCACACTCCCTGAGAGAATAAGAAGTATTACTGTAGCAATCTATTTAATTATTTATCAGGCGATTGCTTTGAAAAATCATCATATTTTTGCTGTGCTTCTGCAGGATACACCCCTGAGCCCTGAATATGTGGGAATATTATTATTTTATTCACCCCCCCCTTTTATTTTTTATTATTAAGCTGTTTTCTCATAAGACCAAGAGCGAGACGAAGGAAGATGTTCTTGTCTGAATTCTGGTAACTGACCAGCAAAATGGTATGCTGCACTAATATAGCAAGCTTCATTCTTTTTATAAGCATGTTAGCATTGTCACCTTAGACTTAGAGCAAAAATACAAAAAACTGTACACATGAATATAATTGAAAGGCAGCTAATGAGGAAATGACCACAACTGTGTGTGTGTGTTTTAGAAATCATAACACCATTAGCCACATCTGAGCTAGCCCTCCTGACCAGCTCTGTACCTCAGGTGTTCTCCAATTGAAGTCGCTCTAAAAAAAACAAGATATTGTAAATGAGTTGGCTATGGAGGTGTAATTTTGCTTACCTTTGGAATGCAGCAAGGCTAACTGATATCTACTGTTTTTAGTCAATTGTACTTCTCAATCAAACGATTATCTAGAAAATGGTGATAAATGTCAATCAGTGTTACCCAAAGCCCAAGAAGATGTCCTCCAAGTTCAGAGATATTCAGTTTACTAACTGACATAAATTTCACTTAATCATTTTTCTTGGACAATGAAAATAGTTGAGTTATGTGGAAGCTTGTGTTACCAGGCAACACGGCTTTTAGCAATTTAATCTAATTTCCTTACATTACATTGTATAACATAACTAAACTGAGCTTAACTATTATTAAAGATGTATGAGTTCATATGGAAAAAACTTGGTTAAAGCAATGTTGTGCCAGGACATATTTGCTATCATACTGTACATACTGTAACAAATATGTCCTTGATATCAAGCTGAATAACATATCAGACATCCTTCGTTTCAGATCATTCGAGTTAGAGAGAGAGAAGTTCTAAATGTTTTATGATGGAAATTAGCTCAAAGCTAAATCTGGCACTGTTACGCTTGATACATTTGAATGTTTTAAGTGTTCATTACTATGCATTGTCCCTGCCAAATAAACGATAAAATTAAATAAATAAATAAAAATAAGTTGTGAAGAGCCCATCCTTTTAGCATTTAGAAATGTTAATATAATGTCTTTAACGTGTACTCTTCCCTGTCTTTAACCATTTGTTTTAGTTGTGATATTCAACCAAATGCATGTTTGTGACTGACAAGTTAAAATCTTGAAGTAATATGTGTTTTTATGTATCGCAATCCAGAGAAATGCAAGTGGCAGCCAACAGCGTGAGTCTTTGCTGGTGCTGTGTGAGAAGAAAATGGCTCATTGTGAGAAGGGTATGCTGATGTGACCCCGGCTACAGCCAGACATGCAAGTGTGAAATCCAGTTGAAAGGTAAGCAGCTGATAAAGCTATACAACAAAGGCGACATCATCTCTCCCCCTCTGTCCAAAACATCTTGTCATCCATCTCTCTTCTCCATACGTTTGCATTCACGTCCTCTTTCTCAACTTCTGCAGATAGATTTAATAAAATATAACTTTGTCATGCAGTTCATTGAAAAGCCTTCGGGACTGAAACGTGTTATGTCTAAGAAACACATTTGATTTGACACTACTTACCTTATGCTTTTCTTTTATTCCGTTTTTAATGTGTTTACTGAGCAATTAGGTGCACATCACTAATGCCTGTTGGGTCTGTTACCATAGCTACGATCCGATTGTGCAGACAATCATCTGGTCCTTGTTTCCTCCAATAGGGTCGCACGGCTGAAGCTGCAATATAAAGTAAAGATGCTCATCTTTCAGCAACACACTAGTAAGAATCAGAAACAGGTTCATGAGTATGAGAAAGTGTTGTAGAGTGGCAGGCGGGGGACTGCGCCCAGTCATGGCGGACCACAGAAACAAGATCCGACGAGCCACACAGCAGGAGAGGAAGGTGAGAGCATCTACCATTTTGAAATTAAACTCCTCTTATTGTTCAGTGAAAGAGTTTGGCGGAACAAGACAGTGACATTAAACAAGGACCGCCTTTGCATTCAGGCTTTGAACGCAAAAAGAGACCAATTGTAACAAAAGGGAAGTGTCACTTTAAATGAAATGCACTGGTTGCATGAATGCTAACAGACAGATAGACTGCTTATAAAGATATAAATGTAGTCTGAACCTTCTCAGGTTCAAATTTAGTTTCACTTGGTGGGACAAAAGAAATCCAGTTGATCTTTGCTTCGAAATATGTCATTATTACGTTTCACAACACTTATTATTATTCCACATAATCTATTGTTAATGAAAAAACACATTTTAAAGTAGTTGGATACAGTTCTGGCCTCATCAAAGAGACCTGCAAATCTCATCAATCAGAACATCTGAGGAAATGATGCGTTCAGGGACAATCATGGGGAGCTTTGAGACCAGGCTTGTTGAAATCAAAGGCCTGAGAGCTGAGATATTTTTTTTACAGGCTATCTGTATCCTTCAGAGAAAAAATAAATGTGGTCAGTTAATCTGCGGCTTGGAAAAGGACAACAGCCAATGCAGCATGTTCAAGCTGCCCCCCTACTGGGCGGCCCATGAGCCTGTCGATGTGGTGGTTTGATGTTGGATGGAAAATAAGAACCCCCCACAACAAACAGAGAGGGCTGGAACAGAGAAAGAGAGGGTAGAAAGGGAAGAACCATCGACAGATGGACTCTGTTGTGATTAAAGATGGCGGCAGCCTTTACTGCAGACTACGAAGGACTATACTCGATCCATAAAAAAGCGGTGGGAGTTGTCTGCGATTCAACACAACAGAACCAAGAACCTCACAGTAAGGTAAACCAGCAGGTATGATGTCTGCTTTTGAATCTCTGAGGATGAAAACTACGGTTACCAGCAACTTTCCATTGTGTTGTGTATCGCTCTTTTATGTCTGTTATCGTTGCTCCTCTCAGTGCCATACTGGTTTTGTTGTGTCCTCCCTTTCATCAAAACCGAAGCAAATCATTTGATTTGACCAGTGAATGTGCATCCCATGACCAGAGTCCTGAAGAGCCCGATAGACTAAAGGCTTAAATTAATTTTCATTTTTTCCAAGCCAGCAGACGTCTGACAGTGCACTTTCACCGTTTGGTACATGGTTACGAATGTATGTCTTTGTCATTATATCACCATAGGAATAATGTTCCTTCTTTAATAGGATTGTTTTCTTCTTGTGGGAATATGGTGCTTTGTGAGCTTTAATATCCATCAAAAATAAACTCAAGTCTGAAAATTGCTCAATCGTCTGTGCCTAATCCACTCCAAGGCTTGTTAGTCATGATATATTCAGCCAGGACAAAGGACATCAGCAGGACTCCAGAATACATTTTCTGACAGTCTTTTGAAATTACGCTTTTAGTTCAGAACTTAACACAGACATTGAATAAATGTAATATGATATATTTTTTAAATTAACAGCGTGTCTTTAATAATAATAACTCAGTCTATCACATAAACGGTTTTGAGTGTCTGAATATCACCTAAAAGCCCTGTGTATGTTAACCATTTTTTTATTTTGAGCAGTTTTATGTCTTGTTGTTACTTTTGTTCTTCTCAACTTTTATTTATATATTTTTAATATAGCCAGTTTTTATAAAGTAAACATCTCTATTGTTTGCACTTCATTTATACCTGTTAATGGGCTTTTGTTCATCAGATAGTCCTCAACAGAGATAAGCCTATTTCAGCCAAGGCCTCTACTAGGGAGTGTTAATCCACACTGACAGGTGGAACAAAATAATGAAAGGACTGAGTGGGAAACATTAAGTTGTCCTCTAGTAACACTTAACTGCAGAAGGATGTATGACAATTCAACAAATATTTGAAAACTTGAAAATAACCCCTAATAAGAAACAGATCTTTCACACCAAGGCTTTCAAGAACTAGATGTATTGATCTATTCTGACACAAAATACTTATTTTACATAAGCCTAGCTGATTTCATAAATAACCAGATCTGGAGCGGAGAATCGCCTTCTATTGTTCCTCTGTCTGCGGAGCAGCTCCACAGGGCCAGTTGCTTCAGGGCTTCATGTTTGTAGTTGCTGAGAAAGGGAAGAGCATTTTTCTTTCCAGACATTTCTAGCTGTTCCAGGGATTCACTTTACTAACCTTCTGGTCACACGACTTGTGGTGCAGTTTGCTGTAAAACATGTTTGTATGGGGGTAGCAGGGGTTAAAAGTCTTAGTGGTGCATATACAGCTTACCGGATGGATTAATGCACTGTGAATACATGAATTGTTGATAATAACAAGTGTAATAATATAAGGCTGAATGCTCAAAGCTGTCTGTAATGAAATTATGATTTTATGATAATCCTGTTAGGTCAGTGATGATGAATGTATGCAGTGTTTGAAAGGTTATTTTTTAAGTGTAGAGGGTTTTATTTTTTACTATTGACCCTATTTTGAAATAGTGGTTTGAATTGACTCGATTCCAAATCAAATGACTTGAGTCTACATCTCTGCTACATACTTCCAAAGAGGGAATATAGCAGCTCCACAATATCATTAGTTTGAATCCGCCTGTGACCTGTAGCATACCTTTGTTCATCCTTAAAATAAATCAAAAGTTAATATATGTTTTCTATGGTCCAGTTTTAAAACAAACTGGGTGATGCTATGAGTTGAAGGTCAGAGTCCATCAGAGTTCAGTAGATACTCAGAAGTCCACAGGGGAAGACAATAATACAAAATCAACATCATTTCATGATAACCCATATTTCTTCACTTTACTTATTTCCATCACTAAATATTTAACCTTGAGCCTTTGAGTGTGAGAAGTCTCATTTCAGAAACTGCTTTTGATTAGGTTTGACTGATGGGTAGAGATAAAAGGTATAGGAACTGATCTGAAAACCCACATTAGCTGTCTGCAGCCTAAAATTGACTAAAGTGTTACTTTTCCTTGATTCTCTTCACGTACAGCCCTCCCTCTGATGATGCAAGGCTCTTACCCCTGTTGCTGACGTTTAAAAAATCCCTGTATCATTCAATTTTGCTGCTGAGGATATTTAATGGGTTCTTATGCCTGAAGTAATGGGGTATCTCAAAGCTCTAAACTGTGACAAGTGAGACTATGTCTTACCAGATGTTATGTCTACAGCAACAGTGTCACAATGTTCTTGGATATGATGAAAAAGGAAAAAGCGTAATCAAAACGTTTTTATAAGTACATCATTATGTTCAACAAGCCCCTCTTGAGAGTTAACAGTGGAAAGTATTAGCATCAAAATAATTATAAAGAACCAAAAGTAAAGGTTCTTTTCACAATATTTTTTTATTTTTGTATTATAAGGAATACATTTATTTGTACATCACTTTCATGTTGCAGTAACATAGGAACTTATTTTTCCTAATTATTCTTTTTAATTTTTTAATTTCTTCTATTTCAACAATTAGACATTTTATACATCCGCGAAACAAACAAAATTAGTAGAAACGGGATTATTCTCTCTTGTAGTTTGTGGATTTACCCCAACAAGTCAATTAATAAAGTAATATAAATAAAGTTTTATTTTAAGTAAATCTGTCATAAGTGTTATTGCCTCTGATATATAGTGTAATAGAATGATAAAAAAGCAAAATTGTAGTGGTTTTTTAATGGTAACTATCCCCCGCTGGAGCTTGCCTTATCTTATTGGCATCATGAGAGAACGATTAATTAACATGGAAGCATATAGAAGTATATATATCTGTACATGTCTAACCCATTGTAATAATCATACATTAGTTCCTTCTGCTGTGTATGAAGCAGGCCTAACACATATCTCTTCCTCTCTTCAGGAACAAATGGATGGAAAAGACAAACTGTCATGGCGACGTTCTGCTTTGGCCAGGCCTTCTTCTTTCAAGGTGATGAGAGGGAAGCTGCCATTACCGCAGCCCTGTGTGTTAAAACATAATGCTATGGAATCCTCAGTAAATGGATGTACTGCTGGAGGATGTCTGAGGAAGACAGTCAAACTCAAGGTAAAACATGTTTTATCTGTAAATTATCATTTGCATGGGATATATTTAAGATGGCCATCATGTCTTCTTTAAAAATACTGGAAAGCTTTTTTAAGGCAGAAGCAGTCTAGGTTCTTTGTGAGAACCTTGCAATGCTTGAAAACAATAATAGTAGATGGTCAGAGAAAATAATCGATACTATGAAAGTAGAATGGAGTGTTTGAGTATCAGGATGCTTAAATTGTTGCTGCCCAAAATCAATTTTGCCTGGAGGAAGCTGAAGTGTGTTGGCTTTTTTTCATGTTTTTTTCTTGCTGGCATACATATTGTACGCACTGTGTACGCTGCACACTTTTCCTTTCTGTTTGAGCAGGCATTTCAGGTGATAAGATGAGACAGGGTGTGAAATATATATGCCTGCTCTTTCTCACGGTGCCAAATGGTTTGATGTAATTACATCATCAAATGCGTTTATGTTTTTATGGTTTCCCATCAGACTTTCATCTTAGACTCAGTAAAACAGTGTGACTGCTGAAAGATTTCCTGGAATGAAAGCCTTTATTGCTGCGTTTGGTCTATCATGACAGTCTTTGCACTGTAAAGTCACACGGTAATGACAGGATTAAGTGTGTCAAACAGTGCTGTAATATCTGGTAAATGTTCTGTTAAAGAGCATTGCATGTCTTTTTCAAAATATCAGCAGTAGTTGTTACAATGTACATATAAAGGCACAATATTTAAGTTATTTTGCGTGCCTACGTTGTTGTTGCAATACCACAGTGTTAAACGGAAGACGCATGTCACTGCTTGATTTGGTTTTCAGTAATTGGCGTATTGGATTTGTTAGTAATTAACATAAACAAACCAACAACATCCTCACATAGCATTTGCAAAGCTTTTGGTAATATTGAGCTAGGATACATATAATTAAAACAGAGGGAAATTATTGTTACATTGCGTGCATCATAACTGTTTAAAGGTCATGCAAGGTCACTGCAATGTGTCTACATTGTAAACCTGACATGAAATCCACTGATTGCATATTGTTGAAGAAGAATAATTGTTACTATGCCTGTGTTCAGTTTGTGGTAGAGACTGGTAGTTAGATTATTTGAAAATGGTCCTTTAGGTGTTGAAGTAAAAATAATGTCCCTATGTTTACCGCGGTCAGCTGTACTAGTAAAACCTCTAGGCGTAAAATTGAACGACAAAGTCCACCTGAATACACCACCAAGCAGTAAAGTTATATCATGACATTGATTTAACTGAACAACAAACCTGACCCAGTGAAGTCACCTGGTGCAGGTTTCATAAAAACCTGCAAACAAACACTTTCTACTTTTAAAACTGTAATGCAACACTCAGATGTGTAATGGGCAAATAAAGGACCTTTTTTAAAGAGGCACTTGACCGATTTGATAAATTAGGCTCAGTTTACCTGTCAAAGTGAGTACTGCCTGTTAATACTTCCCCATTGTCTTATCTTAAGGAGAACAAATAACTGATCCTATCATGTTTTCAGTTTAAACCACACTAGGGATTTAAAATCAAGAAAAGGCGCTCTCCAGCAATTTTGTTTTTTCATTCCATAAACTTTGTACACCTGCAGGACAACATATATGCAGCAGATGCAGAGTTGTCCTGCAGGTGCACCAGAATGAAAAACAAAATTGCTGTGCCTTTTTTAATGTGGGTGCATTTTTATTAATAACATACAAACAAAACAGGCTCTAAAAATACTTTGAGATCCGTATTGAATTCTTACAATGGTAATATAATTCATATATTCAATGTATGGATTTTCCTCCTACCCCAATAGAGGTTTGAATAAAAAAACATATAGCCTAGTTACTGTAGGATATCTAATTTTATGAATTTTAGCCACATTTCAGTAAGCCAAAGAGCTAGAAAGGGAATTCTATGAGCTCATTTTCAAGATATTCATTGTAATTCTTATGAGACAGAAAAAAAAGCAGTGTAGCACATGTAGCAAACTAAACAGTGGTAATGTGTGTAGTGAACGGGCGAGGCGCTGTGCATCATCCGCGGTGAGCCTCCGCTCCGCACAGACACTGAGAGACAGTCATGGAGAGGCGGACAGCGGACTGTTTTCTTTGTTATTTTTAAAGTCTTGCGACTCTCAACCATGTCACTGTTGGCGGGGACGTGTGCCGGTCCAAATGTCCGATGCACCCGAAAGCAGCAAGAAGATTTTCACCGGTGAAGTATATGTCACTTTTTTCCTCCCGAGCTCAGAGATTGGGATTGCGGTATAGTCGGGAGATATGTGCCATCGCTTTGCTGCTTGTAAATCTGTTCGGGGACCGGTGTGGGGTTCCCTCTGTCCTCTGACGCTACGGGAAATGTTTGCGGTCGCCCTGTTGTTCGTTTAGTTTAGCGACTGTTAGCGGACACAGTACAGATATTAATAGGTGAATAGTGTGACAAAGTTGTGCACTTGTCGGTCGGCTGCTGAAAGGCCTGGCACTGTGTATGTGAACGTGTGTATGTGAACGTGTGTGTGTGTGTGTGTGTACGGAGTTTGTTTCTGGCTCCCCTCCCCCACTCGCCGCTGCTGTTCTGCTCATTCTGGAAAGGCCAAGACATGAATGTGATGAGAGGCTCACTTCAAAAAAGGAACAAACGGATACAGTTGCAGAAAAAAGGGACATTTACTAGACTCTGCTGATATCACGCATAAATTGTCCTGTGAGGCCACACACACGTCACACCTGTGACCGCAGAACCGTTAATTTCAATATCAATGCGCTAACCGAACATAACTGGCGCGGATTTATCATTACACACAGGTAGCGAGATGACTGCTAGGTTAACCGGCATATCATTAGCATTCATAAACCATGCATTCTTATTTTCAAACAGCCCGTGTTTTTTCTTTGATTATCATTTATTAGTGCAGAACACCTGGCCTTAAACACAGTGCACGTGCTGCCCACACTTCAGGATTGTGCAGAGAAAAGGCACTGTTGGCCAGTGTTGTCTTTACTGTCTTTGTTTAATCAGGAAAATGATTTGTAGCTGTATTGGAAAAGACAAGAGAGTGGGTGTGCCCTAAAGGGTACGTGAAGGCAACCATTAAAACAATATTTGTGAAATCCCAGCTAGTGTAAACCCAGCTGTCAGAATTCTTTTTTAATACTGAAATGCTAAATCTTATTTTTTCACAATTTTCTTTGTAATCCCAAAACCCATTACAGCAAGTGCACAGAGCTATACATAGGATGTGAGCCATTGCTGAACACCATAATGTTGTCCTGCTCTCAGCTTTCAAGAAATATTGGCTTCTGCGCAAATGTGTGAATTTAAACAGCTAGAGAAAATTGGCTATTTCCTCCCCCTACATTGTGGCTACACTTGGGAATTGGCACTTTAAATGGTTTCTGACACTGTATCTGGGTAGCTTAATTATGAGCTGAATGTACAGTGTTCAGAGGTGGAGATATACACACGACTATTCGTTGCGTAGCAAGAAAGCTCAGGGAAAACACATGAGGACAATGACATGTCCTTGAAGGAGACATTCAACCCTTAAAATCATAAGCTATTTTGCAGAGGGCAGGGGAATGAAGAGAGAATATGATACAAGGATCAATAAAGTATAATTTGCAGCACTGCTCATATCAGCTAATAGCAGAGACTTCTTCATTATTGAGTTCATACTGTAAATCTCAGAGGATGTAACTGCAGTAGCTATGTAAAGTAATGCTATGCTTGTGCATATAAATCAGAGGATATTACTGCACATTACCACTACACCATATTCACACTGCTGCCGAGTAGATTTGCTGCCTCCAGGGCCAGGCGGCACTGAAGCCACGACTCGGGCTTGGATTACCACAACACTCCCACATAACTCAGAATGTGACTCAGTGCGGCACAATTATAGACCATCAAACCACTTTCTAGACTATCAAACCACAGTATAAACCAAATGAGTTTAAGCTTTCAATGTCTGCTTAAGCTTGCAGATGTTATGCAGAATTTGCTGATACAGATTGAGTGCAGGAAATGCTTTTTCTTTCTTATTTTTGTGCTGAAATATGTGTTTTGGTGACAGTTGTTCTATTGTATTGATTACCTTATGAAATGTTGGTTCACTGTATTCCTTATATGTGACTTGCTCTATCGAAATCACATTGACGCGAAAACACACTTTGAGTTTTATACACTGTTGGAAAGAGGAGATTCCTAGCTTTCTAATGATATCAGGATTGTTTTTTATACTCCAAATATTAAGCAAAATATGTCACATTATTGGAGTGTAAGCAGCTGATATTGTAAGCATACTGTGCATAATGCATACCAATAAAAGGTAAACCAGTTCATAATCTTTGTACTGCATTAGTGGTTTGCATTAGATTGTCTCACATTTACAAATCTTCAGGATTTCTGCAGGAAGTGCATTCATTTTAATGTTCAGCTGCAAACTGGCCACATGAGTTTATCATGAAAATCTGATAAAAATGTGAACCATGCAATATTCACTTAGAGGTACTAATCCTCTTTAAACCAGGCGTATGGCGAATATGGGACATGTGGATTGACCTTTTGTTAGCTTATCAATTTATACTGAATAGAGTGCTTTATCATTAATCTGAGAATGAGTTTTAAAATATCTTCTTATAGTACCATTCTGTCAAGGCTAGCATTACTCTATCTTTAAGTGATGTGCTGAAGCTGTGTCTCATTATTTATTTCCCCCCTTGCAGGAGTTTCTTTGCAGTGGAATAAGTAGAGGTCTGGATCTAATAGTTGTGCAGTGTGGGCTCTGCGGGGACGTGGTTTATGGATGCTGGGACTATGAGCATAAGCGACAACAGGAACTACTTAGCAGACCTGGGAGGCAGCTTCACTGAGGATGCTCCTAGACCTCCAGTTCCAGGGGAAGAAGGTGAGCTGGTGTGCAGTGATGGGCGCCAGTACAGCAACTTCGGGTTCTCCTCCAAGAACGAGAGCCTCAAATGTGAGTCGTCTGTGGCTACACCCAGGCGCCCTGACTTGGACCTTGGTTATGAGCCGGAGGGAAGTGCCTCCCCTACTCCGCCTTACTTAAAGTGGGCCGAATCTCTCCACTCCCTCCTGGATGACCAAGATGGCATCCACCTGTTCAGGACGTTTCTCAAGCAGGAGGAGTGTGCGGACATGTTGGACTTCTGGTTTGCGTGTAGTGGCTTCCGCAAACTCGAAGCCAATGAGGGTAACGAGGAAAAGAAAGTCAAACTGGCAAAAGCCATCTATAAGAAATACATCCTGGACAACAATGGGATTGTTTCCCGACAGATTAAACCGGCCACCAAGTCATTCATCAAAGACTGCGTCATGAAACTTCACGTTGACCCTGCAATGTTCGACCAGGCTCAGACTGAGATACAGACTATGATGGAGGACAACACATATCCCTTGTTTCTGAAGTCTGACATATATTTGGAAAACACGCGGACAGGTGGAGAGAGCCCTAAGCTGTTCAGCGATCACAGCTCTCTTTCTGGGAACGGAAAGGGATTGTCGGGTTATTTACCGACTTTAAACGAAGACGAGGAGTGGAGATGTGACCAGGAGCCAGAGGAGCAGCCCGAGTGTGACCCAACGCCGAGCAACCGGCTTACCCAGAAGCTGCTGATGGAGACGGTCCCGCAGCGTGTTGCCAACAGCGGCAGATTCCAGGACAGTCACGAGTACAGGTAAATCCTCCCAGCTATCTAAACAAAAAAAACTTCACCTCTAACTGCAAAGCTTTATTCTCTGCAAACTGCTGAATTAGAAATAAACCTGAAACCCCACAGTACCATGAACGCTGCTTGAAGTCTGAGATGAAAACAGTGTGAGTGTAGCACCAGAGACAGCTCAGATGAGAGGAAGAAGGTGCATTCAGAGGAAATGTCAGAGGCGGTAGAAGTTAACTTGTTGTTAGAAGTTTGAAGTAGTGTTCTTGGTTTTTCTTGTGCAGGTACTGGGGGATTCGTGTTTTCCCATCGGACAGGGTTTTGTAGGAAAAAGAGTTCAGAATCTCCTATGTTTAAAGAAGAGCCTTATGAAAGCACTTACCCTGAAAACTGGTATTTCTTTCTAACTTTTTTCAGAATTTTCTATCATTTGTTTCTCTTTTAATAACTTAGGTATTATGTTTCACTATTTAATATAGAGATCTTAAACTTGTTTTCTAATGCCATAGCCATTAATATTGATTTGGTAGCTATTATAATATAATATTAACTCGGATGACAATCTTGTCAAACAAATAAAAAAAAGGAAGACATTGCATCAGGGACTGTTGTAGTTAAATATTGGACACACCCTATTTCTGACAATAAAAATGTACATGACTATGCACATTTGCTTCATATTGAATTACTTCTAAATCAATGTGCTCCTTAGAGGTGGAAATGTGTTATATTTCATACACTATCAGAATCAATAAATACAAAAGTAATGTTTTTTTCCCCAAATCGAGTTAAAGCCCTCAACTTGATACCCAGGTTTACATTTGCAGATAACTCAACCTACCAATACCAGCAGATGGTCTAGAAACTTGGATTTCAAGTGACTTTGTGTGCTTCAGTGCAATGTGTTACTGTTGTCCGTATGTTTATTACAGCGGGATTCAAATAATGTTCTCTCAGATTTAAAAATGCTTTTCACTCTCAATGTGAGAGGTCAAAGTCGATTCTCCCAGATGTCAGTATCTGCTAATGGCCGGTCGATTCTGAGAAACGCTTATTCGGTTTCAAGCATTTAGACACATGTGGACAGAGTTAAAGAGGGCTGTCCTTGGATTCCATTCATTGATCAGTTGTTTTAAATTCAGCAGTATGAATGCAGAGGTTGCAGCTGTTAACAGAATGACCTCCTGCTATTCTTCTGTTTTATTTTTCCCTCGATAACCGACTTTTCTGCCTTTTTGTGTTCATTTGTGATTCTTGCAGATCCAGTTAGTCATCTGTTTAACCTAATGCTGGTGCTTTGCATAATTTTGCACTTTTGCTGACTGTTGCATCATAATGGATTATTTATAGTTTTATAGTAGCATGAATATACCCTTATTTCAACTTAAGTTACACCTTGCACATACACCAGTTATGACCATTTCTACTACTGCATGGGACAGTTAAGAACAAAAAATTGCTTTATGTAATGTAAATGTAAAACGTTTGAAGCCTTATCACAGCAGACCATTTAGCATTTCACAGCAGGAAATTCACAGGTGTATGAATTCAAATTTAAAGATGGTAAAAATACCTTAAGCTGCTTCAGTTTTAGAGTACTGGATGCTGACTCACAGCCATATAGTTATGACACTTGAATATTTAACTTAGTCATCATTATTGTTATCAGTCATCCACTGATTTGACTACTAACACTAATCTCACATGGTCACTCTGGTCCAGTTAAAGGTTTGTTAAAATAACTTGACTGCTACTTCAACCATGTTAACTAAAATGAAATATGGCAGCATTACTTTGTGCTATCCTACTATGTACAAATCTTTTGACAGCAGCCTTGCAGGAAAACAGACGGCCAACCAAAATCCGCTCAAAGGAATTAATCAGGTGTTGTGACCCCCCCTCAAACCGCACGTCTAAAGACAGCCCATCTGGCAGAAATCTGGCCCAATTCTAAAATTAGTTTGGGCGACCAATTCGGGTCTAAAACCGGTCTTAATCTCCGTACTGTTTCTTCCGGGCTTAATTCACAGCAGCCGGTAGAATGACACAGATGGACCCTAAACGGCTCTGAGTAATCTGAATGCTTTTTGTGATCCTCCCATCTAAGAACATTTCATCATGTTAAACAAATTAGTGGCTAAGCATTAGCTACAAACATGTGCAAATGAAAGTGTAACAACCAAGGATCTTAATGAAAACACAAGTATCTGCTTGCTACTACAATTGTGCTAATATCCCAGCTGATTACACTTAAAGCTTATTGTGTAACCAGGTTACATCTTCAATTGAGGATTAAGGCCAATTGCAATTTAAAAAAAACATCAAAACAACATGTTTTAAAAAGGGGGATTTAAGATCCTTATATGTGTTCTGCTATACTATAGTTTGCAATAATGTTGTCCTTCAAATTGAAAATCTGAAGAAATCTTCCCTTATTTGGCCTCTACTCCGTCAGCACCAGTGTTATGAGGACAGGAATTCAGATCAGCTGACAGAAAGACAATACCTTCCAGATAAGACACTCTTGTGTGACTGAAACACTGAACACAATGCATACAAAACAAATCTGACCAGTTAAATCTGAACTGAAATCACTCCCGCCGTTATCTTAGAAGCTGTGGAATTCTGATTTCTTTTCATGACGCTCTACAGTTTTGGCATGCTGCTTCTTTGGCTTATATATGCACAACGCAAGAAGAACCAACTGCTTGTTTGCGTTTGATTTCCTTTCTTTCTTTGAAAACATAACCAAAGGCCATTTTCGCTTGAGATCTATGTTTGCTTGAAATGTCCTCAAACATATAAGAGAAAGCTACAGTTTTAATTAGAGCGTAACACACAGTTAACGGCGTATTTTCACATCATTATTTCAGCTATCAAGCATTTGGCTGGAATTACAGAAAGGCACACTTCGTTTTTTTTAAAGCCTTTCAGCAGCACCCGTTGGTTCTTTTTTTTAAGCTACATTTTCCATCAGTTGTGTCTGATCTCTTCTGAGACAGGCAAAACAAAAGACATTAAATAGTCTTTCAGATCAGCTTTTAGAATTCAAACGACGAGAGAGAGAGAGATATACATTCATTGATGTTTGGGGAGGTTTTTGAAATCTGTACAGCTCAGTTTTTTCTCGTTCCAAGTAATTTGTAAACTTCAAAAGCAATAATTCATCCAGTTTGTCATTTAATAAAAGATGTTGTTTCCTTATTAAATGATCTTTTGAGGGTCCTAATAATCTGCACGCCTGCCTGAAGTTGAGACAAACATGATAGAACAATATGGATGACCACTTATGGTATTGGTCCTTTAGCAATAATAATACATTTTCTTTTGTATGACATTTATTTGCCCTTTAGGCACATTGTTTATTTGATTTCAATGAGAGGCAGGCTCTGCGGAGAGAGACAGAAAGGAATGGCATGTGGAAGTTTTCATTACACATAGAGGGCAACTGAGGACACTGTTGCCATTGTCTTTAAAAAATGCATATATAAAAACGAGTTTAACAAAACACAGCTACCTTGCCTTTAGATTAAATTCTCTTTATGCAAGTTAATACATACAAATATGTCAAGGCTCTTGTTAGGATGGAAAACTAGGTATTTTTATTTTCTTATATTGCTATTTCATTCTTTTTCAAATGGAATTAATACAAATATAAAACTACTTAATTGTTTTTAATGACCTAGAACCAGTACATGGGTCGCCAGCTCTACTAACTTGGCTAACAGCGGACCGCTTTATTGTATTTAATGTCTCCTCTTGGGATATTATGCAGCAATAAGGATTAATAAACAACACAATCATTTTAGAACAAACATCCAGCACTGAACCATTTTTCAAGGGACTGTCCTGTGATTTGATATGATGACAGAAACTGTGCTCCAATGTTTTCATTTATTTGTTATGTAAAATAAATCATCCCCAAATGGAAAGGACAACTGTGAGCGGTGTTGCAGCTTCAGATCAATTCTGCTCAATAAATCATCTCATCTGTCTTTCATCAGATGACAGATTGAATTAGTTTGCTTCTCTCCCTTGTCAGTTCCTTTCATTCCTCATTATCAGAAACGTTTCCACATACAATCACAACTTAAAACTCATTTTCTGTAGAGTGCACTTTTTATTTGTCCCGGCTCTTCACCAACCTGGCTCTGTAATTATTCGCTGTTGCTGAATGCGGATGCCAATGAAAATCAGTCGGTCACAAAGGTTTCATTTTGAACTCTGGGAGCTGCTGCATTCCAAACGGGGAGAAAAGCTTCAGGGAATTCCAATTTGAATAAAAAGAGATGATGTCGAACATCTTTAATTCATGTGTACAACGCCCTGCTAGAAGTGTGTTCAGTAAAGTCAATGAGTGAGAAGGGAGAAGGTTGACAAATGAAGCTTGAATGCTATAGACGCTCTTCAAGGTTGTGCATCCAAATAAGACTCGCGGTCATACACCAGCATTCAATACTCTATATTGTATGGAATTTGGTGTACTCACAGAGGCCGTGGAAATAATATGAAATGAGTTGTTGCTAGCAAACAACCGGTAGACCTATACCGTTCTTTCTCTAGCTGTCGGTTTTTTACAGTATACATTTTGAAAAGCACAGATGTTGCTAATAACAATAACGCCGGCTCGCCTCTATTGAGTGAGTTACAGTGAGCCAGCATACACAATAGCAGGACTCTGAAATCATAACGGCTAAATGGAATTCAGCCGTCATTCATTTCATTATTTACATCGGTGCTTTTTCATACTGTGACAAATCAGAATGTCGTCCATAAATAAGGCCTGTTATGCCAGAAGGAATAACAGAAGAGAGAGGAGTGGCAGGAAGTGGCCGAATCTGAAAGGTTGACTAATTGCAGGCAATGAAGAATAAGAAGCTGAGCAATGAGGTTATGTTAAATGGTTAGCTGGTGTTGCTAATAACAACGATACGAGTCTCATGTTGATATTTGTTGATAATATATATGTTGTTCTGAGGTCTAAAATATTAATGCCATTACAAAATAGAGATTTTAGTTGTT